AGGTCTGATTCTGCAAAGTAGAGAGGGCTATTTCATAAATGCAATTTTTTTCATACCAAGCTACAGTACACAAAGAAGGGGACTTTCACAGTAAAGTTCTTCTATTCTTCTGCAAAACTCCAAAACCTGAGCTAATGCCTCATTAATAAAGATTAAACTTATCACTRTATCCACAGTAAATTTACAGATGTTGAGGCTTTAAACCTGTGATATTTCAGCAGAGCCATTCCTGCTTTAGCATTGGTTTTCTAATGAAATGAGACAAACCTGTTTGTCTGTGCATAAGTGTGTGTCTGTCAGTCACCCTTGCCAAATTCCAAGTCTAGAAGTCAAGTTCAGTTAAATTTAGCAGGGACAAGTCACTCTGAAATAACAGGCATAGCAAGAGAGGATAGAGACACTGCACACACAGAGGTCTTACAGTAAGGTTAATCCTTACTGGACCTCAGAGAATACACACTGTCATGTAATATTCAATCAATAAGTTATGGGAACGCAAGCTTCATTGGTTGCCCTGATCACTGAAATATTTATTATCAGTATGAGAAGGACACCTGGTTTACTTCTGTATAGAGTTTCAGGATACTGAATGAAGTGGAGGTGTATCCATCTGCTTGGAGTCATGTGTATTCCAGGCAAACAGACCTTGCATTGTGCACCAGAACTGAAACACAGTACAGCAAAACCAACACAACCAACTGCATGCCCCAGGAATGGGTGAAAAATGAATATAATTGCTTGCCAATGAAAAAATKACACATTTTAAAATCTTCTTATTTCAAAATGAGCCATAGGATAGGTCATATCCATCACATAATGGAAAAGTGAATATATTATGAATGATTTATCATTATGGAAATGCACAGATGCTTATTGGTGGCATGAGTCATATAACATGCAATTTTCACACAATATGTTGTTAATAATGAATAAGGATTTATCAGTATATTCTCATATTAAAAAAATAGCAGTATTAAAACTTGTTCTTTCACTGGAATCAAATAACTGTGCATGGAGTTGCTATGAAAYTGAGCTACTTTTGCCATTACTACTAATTATATTTTAATGTTAAAATTTTGAAGTAGATATTCATCAAATTGTCACAGATCAGATCCACCTCACTGTTACACACTAAGCCACACTGCTCCTACCTATGTGCCAAAATGTGCCTACCTACACCAAGTGAAGGGAAAACCAGAAGCAAACACTACCTTCTCCTAGTCTGTAGTATGCACTGGGAGGTACACGCTTTTTTTACAGCCCATGAGGCTTGTTTCACATGTAGATGGCACGGCTCATTCCCATTGAACTGGGGATTTTTCAAAACAGAAGTCCAGTTATGTTAAAATCCTCTRAATAACTTGGCTGATGAGTGATGTAATATAGCAACACAAAACAAGTGTAGGAACAGAGGCTAAGAACTCAAAAATTGTTTTCAACTATACCCAGAGTTGTTTCTCCTCCATGTACCTTAATCATGCCCTTTGTGGATCAAGCTGATGCAGTAAAAGAATAAACAGCCCACTYCTACACAAYGTGTCACCAACAAATGGATCTTTCYTCTGCAAATAAATAATTTTAATAGATCATGACAGGATGCCTCAGCTGCCTCAGTTGGAAGTCAGCTGGGCCAGCTTATGCTGCTACTGAAATCASGATCACACTGATGAAGAGCACTCATGTTATCCATTCTGGTACTTGAGCAGTAGGGTCTGACAAGCCCTTCCTTGGAAAAGATAATGAACAATCKCTGTAACTACTTGACTTGAAATTTCCAAGGAATTCCTGCTGCAGAGCTATCAAAGGCAAATTAATTCATTAGAAGGTACAAGGACACACAACTCCCTGACTGCCTGGCCTGCAAAGCACCTGAAAACTTCACTTTATGTTGATTAGGAAATCAATGCACATAGGAGACAAGCTGAATGTCAAGAAAGGCTGATTCGGCCTAGACAACAGCAATACATTTTCTTTTTCTTTACAGGGAAAGCAGAATTTGTATTTATGCCAAACAATGTAAGAGAGAGTTTTTGCATCTTGCCAATACAATTTTCTTTAGAAGGGAAATATCTTCACAAAGTTAATTGCAAAATCATTGATCAAGAGTGGTTCATAAACCAGCAGGTGAATGAAAGGAAGACCCAGTGGTAAATGACCACATTAGATAGATATTAGAGTATGAATTGTCTTTATTGTTACCATAAAGAAAAGGAACTTGGAAAATACATCCATTCCTGCAGATTGAAGCCCCCTGACATGAGGCTCCAGAGAGTCAGGACACCACACTCAGCCCTTGGTGAAAAGAGACAATTGCAGCCCTGGACCTGCCAGGGCACTAAGAGGACATGGGCTCCTTCTGAGGTTTTCTCCACTGAMATTTTATTCCCCTTGTTTTCCAAAGAATTTGTCTCCGATTTGCAAATATCAAAATTTTGGTATCCCCAAAATTCCATTTCCCTGCCAAGAGCATTATTTAAAAACAGAAGACAAATCACCTGCTCTGAGATGAGGGCTCATACCAAGGCACTCTGAGGACAAATGCATCACCATGCTTTCTTCCTTCCTGCATACATGGTTTCTGTATGCTCACACAAGCCTCTCTTCATGAATCACTTCTGGTACAGTATCTTTTCCCTCCCTATCTACCACATCCCACTCTAAAATAACTTGTAGAATAGTCTCAGAGAATGCAAGGGAAGCCATTGCCCCTTCACACTATACAGAGCTGCACTTATTCCCATCACATGAGCCAGAAAAGTGATCTTGCAGCCCAGAAAACCAACCATGAACTGGGCTGGCCAGAAGATGAGGGAGGTGACTCTGCCCTTCTRTTCCACTCTCATGAGATCCCAGCTGAATTACAGCATCCAGCTCTGGGCCCTCTGACATAATAAGAACTTGGTTCTCTTGCAGTGGGGCCAGAAGAGGGCAATGAAGATGATCAGAGGGCTGGAGAACTTTTCCTGTGAAGACAGGGTGAAAAACTTGGGGTTGTTCAGCCTGGAGAAAGGAAGGCTACGGGTAAACCTCATTGCACCTKCCAGTAGCCAAAGGGAGCCTATAAAAAAGCTGGAGAGAGACTTTTTGCAAGGTCCTATAGTGAAAGGACACGGGGGGAATAGTTTTAAACTTAAAGAGAGTGGATTTGGATTAGATATAAGGAAGAAATTCTTCACCATGAGGGTGGTGAGGCACTGGAACAGGTTGCCAASAAAAGTTGTGGATGTCCCATTCCTGGAAGTGGATGGCCAGCTTGGATGTGGCTCAGAGTAACATAGTGTAGTGGAAAGCATCCCTGACTATGGAATTAGACAATCTTTATGGTTCCTTCCAACTCAAAACCATTTTTGATTCCATGTCTTTGAACCCAACCTTTTCTGCTGTCAGCCTGGGCCAGAAGGACTGTACATCACAAATAAACAATGAGGGAAAAAATGCAAATGGTGTGTACAATAGCAAGGGAAAGTGACACACAAAAAAAAAAAAAAAAAAAAAAGCCCGTAGCTTGAAAACAGTACACTTGATTAAAATACATTCTTTTCTCACAGGACTTCCTAATTAGCTCACTAATACCATTCTCATCTATTTCAGCTATTAGATGGTCTCTCTGTCTCATAAAAAACGAGCAGAATCTTTGACACCCTCTCCACCTGGGGAAGTTCATCTAAGAGAAACCATTCCCTTTTCACTTCCAGTCTGTCAGTGGGATTTTCCTCTGAAGGCTGCTTATGGCTTTCAGGATCTTAGTTTCAGAAAATCTAAGGTAGAAATTATTCCATACATGCACCCATCAAAACAGCCAATTTAATTAAAAAATGAGGTTACTTACAAACCCTTCAGCTTCACTGTGCAGCAAAGACAGTAACATATTGTCAATAGATAAACACTCCATACTATCCATGCTGCCCACAGCACAAAACATGTTCTYTTGGGACAACACTGCCCAGTGCTGTGATGGAATGGGCATTTTATAACTCTGGTGYTGAATTGCAAAATAACATGTCTAGAGTCCAATTTTCAGTGTGAGCACTTAATGCGAGCAATCAGATTTCCTCCATATGGGGTTGATTTTAAGTACTAACTTAAATCAGTTCAAAAATTTAGGAATAACAAATGAAAGAACAACACAATATGTTTTTTTTTTTCTTATGTTAGCTTGGCTCACCAGCCAATCTAGCAACCTCTTCAATGTGCACTTTAATGGTGTGTTTAGTGTGCATCCTGAATCTCCTTCTGGGACTGAACATGCATGGGCAGTCCAATGCTTTCACTATGTTCAGCAAAGTGGCAGATGCCTTTTTAGAAACCACATTTGGAAATCTGACCTTAAAAGTATAGATATGACACAATCTTTGGAATTACTAAAAAATTAACTTATGGCCAGGGTTTTTAAAAGCATGTACCTAATCCATTCTGAATGCAAACATCAAACATGTCCAATTTCAAGCACAGACACCACGTACGTCAATATGTCCCATTGAAGCATAACATTTCTTAGGATCTGATCCACAAGTCCAATAGACAGCACTTGAATTCAATGTGACAAATGTTCCCAGGTACACACAAGACAAGCATACTATGTTCCAAATGGATTGTTTAAGCAGGAGAATGCTTACATGAAGAAAGCTTCCTTTCCTCATAGCCCCTCTGAGGATACTGATACAAAAGAAAAAAAAAGGTGATTTTGTTTACTAGTGATGGAGCACTGTGGCTATTGTGTATCCCCATTGTTGTGGCTCTCAAAATGAGCTCATTAAGACATACTTCACCAGAAGAAAATATTTATAATGTCAGTGTGCTCTAAGAAGAATTTATGTTGGTAAAAAGCTTCACAAAATAAATTCCCAACATTCTTCRAATACATTCAAATTATTTCCCTAATTAATATTAGGAATAGGAGCTTTAGAGACTGACGTCATGGTGAAAAAACTTTTTGTTTGTTTTCTGATTATATAAAAAGATGACARTTTTATTTTCTGTACAGATTCTGAGCTCTCTAGGTAAGCTTAACTTGAGAAAAATGAAAGTAATTTCAACTGAGAAGTTTATTTTGTTTGCTTTAGCTACAGTGGTCTTTCTCACACCAAACAGCATGTGCCTAAATGAATCTGCAAAGTCCAGGCTGCAGAGCAGAGAGGACAATGAGAATAAATATTATGAGGTAAGATCTCTATTATGATGACATTATTTGGGGTACTGTGGGTTAGATCTTGAGCACACTGGATGTTTTGGCACAGGCTCTCCTAAATTCCTAGCACAGCATTCAGCATTACAGCATTAGCAGAATGAAAACAGCTTGTTGAAAGTATTTTCAAGAAATTCATTTGCTCAGTCCCACACTCTGTGTAAATCAACTCATGTTTCAATTTTCTTGCAATACAGCTTTGCGATCAGGCTGACTTTTTCTGAAATGCTTCTTACTTACACAGTAGGCCCTCAGCATTCCTGTCAGGCATTTTATGCACATAATATAACAGATAGATTATTAATCCAAAATTAATAAAGGCAAGCTTGTAATACTCAAAGAATAATGATAAACASAGAACATTTTAAATCTAATATAGTTAATGGTCTTTAAATTTTACTCTGGAAATTGCCTATAAAAATTTCTTTGCAGGGTTGCACATTTATTATGTCTCAATAGATGCCAAATGAAATTTGCACACTTCATCTATATTATTTTTCATGTCTGCCCTGCAAATACTCCCTGGGAATTGGGAGGCAACCTCTGTTTTTGACTTATCATCATTGGTATAATGAACATCCTTCAAAACAAAATACCATTTCCATTATGCTAGAMAAATCCTCTGGTCTTTAGTTCAGTCTCAGTTATACACTTCCAGAAGGGGTATACAGGCGCAATCAGAGTGATAGTTTATTTAATGTTTTAATCATGAAATATGAACTAGAATGGCTCATTCCCCTGCTCTGCCAGTAACTGTAGATCACRGGGAAGTCGAACAGGGACAAGGAATTGAAACTAGGATTAGTAGCATTTGTGTTTTTAACTGAAATTTAAACCCATATTTGTACATATTTGCTGTTAAGGCTTGGAAACTTATTTTTGTCACAAAAGTAAGTGATTTTCAATATGCCAAGGAAAGAACACCTATAAGAAGGGTCATACTGATAAAGCTATTTTTCAGGCAATTKTTGTCCTTTCCATCACGAGACAGGTAATATACTAGGCTCAGTTCTTCATCATGTGTCAGCATAGATACAGAAAGTATATTTTGTGCTGGTTGTGCAAAAATTTGGAGCMCAGGCTTTCCCAATGCACCTTGTGTAGTGGTGGAGGATTAAAGTCGCTTAAAGCTCAGGGCAACCTCTACACTGTGAAGCCAGAACAGCCATGGTGTGAACTTGACCCAAACGCTTTCCATTCGCTTCCCTGTCTTTTAGCCTGGATGAATACTGGGTCCAAAGCATCCACACAGTGATTAGGAAGAAATGAGCTATACCTTCAGGTAGCATATCCATCCCCTTGTTCATCCACACCAGAGGAATAAGAGTCTGGGCTKTGTCAAGTCACTAAATATATTCAGCATCTTCCGCTCTGGACAACTTCAGGTTGTGATATTAACAAATGTGGGCCTGACAACAACTGCTGTCCACTCTTAACTGATGGCACAGGTACTGACACCTGTGCCCAGAAATATTTCCAACTGGCATCGTTTGAACTGAACCATTTGATGATACTGATATGGAGAGGTGCTCTTGTGGTCAGAGTTCTGAAAAGGTAAGCAAGACAATGCTGGCATATGAAGTAATCTATATGAAGGAGTTCATAGAAAACACAACTAAAAAAATACATATTCTAAGACTATTACCCAACAGCTTGCTAATGAGGTATGATTTTAATACTTTGTGTGATTGGCAGGTGGAGTAATGCCCTATAAAATCATAGTATCTTTTTTTTAAATTATTTTTCTGTAGATTAAAGATGACATTTTGGAAGAAAAGCAGAGGAGTCTCAATTTTGAAGAAATGGAAGACTGGGGATCAAAAAATATCATTAAAGTGAACCCTTTCACAGTAAACAAGATGCCAAATTCAGTTGCTAATTTACCTCTTAGATTTGGAAGAAATTATCCAGAAGAAAGAAGTATTAAAYCATTTGCTAATTTGCCCCTGAGATTTGGGAGAGCTTTTGGAGAGAGCACACCTAATTATGCTCCAAAGGTATCATACAGACTTGGGAGATCTCCATATGTTAAAGGTTCCAGTCAATCACTTCTAAATTTGCCGCAGAGGTTTGGGAAGTCACTGGCTGTCAATCTGCCTGGAGACATTCAGGAGTCTGAACCAGGTAATGCTACACAATTGTTCAAGTCATGTCTTAAAATGCATATTAAATCATATCTCAGCAACGATCAAATACAGCTAAAATTCCTCAAGGAATATCCCTAAGCATTTCAATATGAGTTCAATTTGCCAGAAGAAAGATTGCAGTTCATCAAATCAAAAAGTAATGGTTCATCAAAAGAAATTGAAAAACTTTTTATAAAATCTTTTCTAATGAGAAGGTGCCAAATAGCCAAATTTGAAAATGTTCATAKGACAGAATTAGGTTTGATACTTTTTTAGATCAGGTTTCACTTTGAAAAGTTATAGCTTTGGTGAAGAAGGTTCAGAATCATTAAAATATTTTATTTCAGCACTATAAAATTACAAACTTAMCTAAAAATTACCCTTCCATTTTCTAAATTTATGCAAATGAGAGTTAAAAAAATACAAAATTCCAAGCTGAATACCAGCATTCTGAAGATGTGTTTTTCTCATCCGATCTTATTTTTTTTCATATTTTCTTACTGACACAATGTTTGAGATTTTTGATTTTTCATTCCAAGTTAGCATAAAAAAAATTTTATGACATCTCAGAATTTTTTTCASGATAGAAAACTATTTCCTGCCCATTACTAAGAATAATTCAAACCAGCTCTTCAATAACAGTCCTTCTTATCATAACTGCTGCCTTACTGGAACTGCCCATTTGTCTGTAACCAGGTTTCAGTTGGCTACCCCTGACCTCCATCTGACATATGCATAAAGTAGGAGTTCAGGCCAGGGAAGATAACTGAAATGTTAGAAGCCAAGGTTCTCTCTCATTTAATTTGATTCCTTTCATTCCTTTCTCACTGTCTCACCTAATTATAACAGCTTTTGTTTCATTTGTCTGGTATTTTCAGGGATATGAATTCTAACAGTTACACTCATACCGGAATGAAATTATGAAGACAGAATCTGAAAGACTTGGAAAAGCTGCAGTGTGCTTTCAAAACTAAAGGTCATGAAAAGGAAACATATGTGTACAGAAGTGCAAGCCTGCTTTCATATRTGTGTAATGTATTTATTCTGTACAAACCCCTGATATACAAGGCAATGATAATCATAATGGTCGTTGTGGTTCACTTCAGTAGCCCTGTAGTATAAATTCGATTTACTTCTGTGCAACTTATGTCCTATTGGTCATAAAACCTAATTTCATAACAATGGTTGTATAATTTAAAACATTTTAAGCAGAATTAAAAGAAGAATAATATGAATTAAAAAAAAAAAAAAGCATGGTTCAAATAAAAAGAAGCCTATGACATGAATAACAATCAGAAGCAGGATCAAAACTGCTGATAGTCTTTATGTCATATGCAGCTAAAGAAAATCAAGCGTTGAGAAAGTACTTCTGTTTTTTATGGGTCATCTCAAATCTGAAAGACAGCTTGTCTCTCTGGTAGCTGGCTCCTACACCTCTTCTCCTGCTGATCAGATTGGCCAGCTTTAAACTGATATTACACGCAACGGGTCCCTTCATCCCTTCGTGCAGCCATTTGATGCTCAGTCTGTTCAATAGTTTGAACCAGGCAATCTGGCTCTCCAGTTCTCAGCCCTCAGACCTCCAGGTCCCTTTGACTCCTCAATTGCTCGCAATCAGACCATTCAATTTACTTGCCTGCTAGCCTGACTTAAGATTTGCTAACAGATCATACACACATGTGTTCACAGTGTCCATGCACAGTGTCCATTCAGGGTCTGGCTGAAACCCCTCAGGGCCTTGAGTGGTTCCTTCCAGTGATCCAGGAATTCTGCTCTTTGTTAAAATCTTGTTACCTCCTTTTCCCCAAGGTTTGAGATTGTGAGAGTTTAATTTATTACTTTGCCTATCTCTTGTCTTAGTCTTTATGCTGAATAACCAGTAACCAGATATCCTTACATTCCACATATCTTTAGAAGAACCTGGGGAAAAAACCATAACTGATCAGACAAATTCATAGATGGGACAGAGGCTGAGTTGCCATTCCTCTATGAAGTTAGTGAAAGAAGTTCTATGAAGTTACTTGAAAGACAGCACTATTCGACCTGTGCCTGGTGAATCTAATTCAACCCAAAGGAATCAGACTACAGTCCAGAGAATATCTACTCACTCATACCCGAAATAACAGATAGGAAAATCTAAACTGAAAAAAAAMCCCACCTCTTGGTGGTAAGATTGCACCTTTTGAATGTAAGAGACCCAAACCCATCTTTGGGCATCTCTCTGAGCCTCAGAACATACTTTACCTAGTAAGTGCTGGTGAAAGACCTGCWTTGCAGTGTAACACCTGGGGACAGCAGCCAAGTCCATGCAGAAGGACACTGGTCAACAAATTGTGTGTGGGGAAAGTCAAAGACCCAGGCTATGAAGTAGAAGTCTTGTCTTTGCCTATCACCAGAACAGGTGTCATTCTTTCTTTAGTCAGGAAAACCAGAATCTTTAAGTGATTTACTGTCAAATGGATAGCAGCAGAAAATACCCTGAACTTTGAGTTGTGTTTCTGGTCCTGCAAACCTCACTGCACATCATGTAAACCAAAAGCAAACAAGATTTGTGAGAATCCCTGAGCAGCAATAGAAGCTCCCTTTTTAAGGCACATATCACCTAGCAACAGGGAAAGGGTACACATCAATTGGCATTAATGATGGCTGCTGTGGGAGGAAAGCAGAACCCCAAACATTGGTCCAGCACAGGTACAATTAAGTTGTCCTCCTATTGCAAGTTTCAAAGCATGGATACAGGAGATGCCTATTGATTTATTTTCCCTCAGCAGAGGAACTGCTAGGAGAAAAGTACATAAAGTAGGAATTATGCTATGCTGTGCAAAATTTCTGTTTGGTTTGAGAGCACATCAGCYAAGAAAACAATCACTGCACATAGTGCAACAGGAGGAGAAAGGGCAGAACAGGCAACATACATTGCTCTAGCTATCACTCACTGGATTATTTATAAGCCATATACAGATATTATTCATAAATTGGGGAAAAGCAAAAAAAATGACGCATGTAAATCAGTTGACAGACTATTGAGGCTTACTGGCATGAATACTTGTAGGATTCAGGAGCTCCCAGCCTTCCTTGCCATACAAATAATATTTATGCCTATTATTAATGTTTCCATGCAAAAACACCAGGCTTATTTTAGGTTCTGACTTAAGCTTATAGAGAAGACAGCTGACAATGTACTAATTAATTTAGAAGTCCAAAGGCTCATCATGGGGTTGATTTCAATATATCATTTAGACAGACTTAGTGGAGCATAAAGTGACACTTTTGGTTTACCCCCAGAAGGAGGCAGATTTGGGAATCTGGCATTTGAAATCTATCAGTCTTAGATTCACTTAAACTGCTTTTGCAAATGCCTTTTGCATTTTCTTTAAAATATGACAACTGAACTATCCTCAGTCATGGCAGACCACTAGAAATTTCCAAGCTCTAAGCAAGACATTTTAAAGATTTCCCCAAGTTTAAGWGCACCCATTAGTGGACTTGGAAATGCTTTCATTAGTGCCACCCACTAAAGTACATCTGGCACAGATGCATTGACAACCATAGATATCTGATTTGCATTTGTGCTTCTCTCCTGATACTATAATGTAGAAGGGCCTCAGCTAGTGCAACTCATAATTTTTGTAGCACAGAGTTTGGATGAGAAAAATCCGTGCTATTAGGAAAGAAAAGAGAGACTTACAGTATCCTTATGTGTGTTTTATCCCGAGAACAATAGATAGGGTAAAAGACATTTTTTCATCTTTTTATATCTATGCATAAYGTATCCTGCACAGTGATTAGCCAGAAGATCAGGCCCATGGCCTTACTTGGAATTGTATCCAATTAAAGTTTTAGTGAAAACCAACAWAAACTTAGTTTCTCTTACAGTTGTTATCCAAATTATCCTCTTAGATCCCTAGAGTTAACTGGTAGAAAAAATAYTGTAGATTGGCTTACAGAAAACTCAGATTCCTCCAACATGTTGATAGTTCATAAAATGAAACAAAAAACAGTYGGTTATTCCCATTGCTTGCAGGCCTTAAAAAGGAGTCAGATGATTAAGACAGACATAATTTGCACTTAATATATTTATCTCATCTCTGGTGCTCATAACAATTGACTTCTGGCACACCTATCATCTACCATATAGAATGATGTCCAGCTCTTTCTGTCCTGTAACACATTGGAAATTACAGGCAGAAGCTGGAAAACAAAACTATAGAAGTCAGTCCATGGTTTAACAAAGAATTGAAAGCAAGGCTTTGCAGAAACCTCCCTCTTTAACTTCTCTCAGAATTGCAGTAATTCAGATGGACCCAGAAGATTGATCTTACATATAGAGCTAAAGACAGACAATAACTGAAGGAATATTTTCAGTCTTTTCAATTGTAGCTTCCCATTTTACCATATTGAAAAACATKTATTTTCCTTTCTCCTCACATGCATTTGATTTGGCATATCTCAGCCATACTGAAAAAAATGTTCAAATAATAGAAACTGGAGGTTAGSTTCACATGCTGCATATCACAGCACAAATGTACAGACATACAACAATGCAATATGTGTGTTGTAGGGCACACAGAGGCATGTGGCTGTCTTTGCAAATACCACATTCATGCATACACAGGTAACAAGTGATAGATGAAAAGTGGTTCCAAACCAGAGGCAACAATTAGGAGCTCTGTAAATCAAAACTTTGCTTGGGTTTTGACCCTCAGCCCCAAAAGCTGCCCCACCTCACATAAAAGAAAACATTAAATTAGTTTGCATCACTGAGGTTCAAAGTACATTTTATATCTCTGAAACTTTATATTAAAGTTTTCAGTTGAAAACAGATTTACAGTTTGTGGAGATGTTTGTGGTGGGTGATCCAGGGTGGGCACAAGGTGCCTACCAAAGCAGGACAATTAAGAAAAAACACAGCAAAAGGCTCATGGGTGAAGATAAGGGAGATCACTCCAAAACTCTCTACCTCCTGCACGCCTGTAGTGCAGGGAATAGGGAGTGGAGGTTGGGATCAGTTAACAAAGTGATGTCTCTGCCACTCCTTCCCCCTSAGGGGGAGAACTCCTCAAAGGCTTTCCCTGCTCCAGTGTGGCATCCCTCATCTGGGAGACATTTCTCCACGGGCTTCTCCAGTTTGAGTCCTTCCCATGGGCTGCAGATCWTCACMAATGGCCACAGTGTTAGTCCCTTCCATGGGGTRCTGTCCTTCAGGAACAGACTGTCTGGTGTGGATCYCCTGCAGGGACCCAAGTCCTGCCGGCAAACCTGCTCCAGTGCAGGCTCCCCACAGGGGTCACAGATTCTTTCTGACATCCACTTGCTCTGGCATGGGGTCCTCCATGGRGWGCAGGGCAACAGCCTGCCTCAATAKGGTCTGCAGAATGCCAGATAATCTCTTCCGTGAAACCTGAAGCACTTCCTATTTGGATGAATAAGTGAAGGAGAACAGAGAGGAGCTTTTACAAATCATCTGCTTCTCTTAGCTGTTTAMCTCAGTGGATACTTAAAATACATCCACATCTTGGGGCAATAAAAATATTTGGAATTTATTCTATGGCCAATATGCAGAAATTTATTTGTGGAAGAATGGAGATAAACTTTCTTTGAACTCTGCTGTTGAAGAGAGCGGCTCAAGAAAAACATAAAAGCATATGTTTGGTGCTGAGCTTGTCTTTGAGTGTAGTTACCATTTTGACTAAGTACCTACTTGCCTTTAGAGAACACCATCAATTCTGAGAGCTGCATGTTTGTCTGTCCCTCAAGAGGCATTTCAAATGAAATTGTACAACCCAATTCAGCAGTTGATTTCTTTTGGCAGCTATGAAAGAAAAGTCAGAAGTTTAATTTAAATTCCCGTGAAGAAATTAAATACCAGTGGAGRAACTCCAGAGTAACCTACAGTGTAGTTATAGTGGGATCACATATGGCCTGTGGAATCTTGAAAGAAGTGTGAAACCAGGTGATTCTGAATTGCTCTTGATGTGTCAGTCTGTGGAAAGAGCAGGGGAGGGGAAAGGAGCAGACAGYTTTCAGAAGCCGACAGTTTTCCTGTGTCGGCTCAGCCACCACCGCATGTTTCTGGAAGTTCTGTACATTTCCTAACAAATGTGTTCTTSCACATATTTATACTGCATATGATTTTATGAATCCAGGGGTGGCCTGGAGGATTTCAGAGCCCACATCCATCTCAAATGTGTAACTAGTGATAAATTCTTTCTGGGTCTTTTTTCCTTCTGCTGATAAGTGCAGATGGTGCACAGTTTGGCACTGGCACAACATGTGCAGTAGTGATTTTCTTAGTTACCCCAGAAATCACTAGGATGAGGATCCAGTAATTTGGGCAGACTGAAAAGGAGCACATAGGAAGACATTTGCAGATAACGTATAAAGCAATCGAGCTTTTTTTCCTATTTTCCAACATGTAACAGAAAAATATTCTCACTTGTTAGTATTATCTGACAGTGAATAATCTATTCTTGTTTTTTATAATACTTTGTTGTTAAATCACTATTGCATTTTATGATCTTACATGTGTGCTACAAAATTTCTTGTTCAGACTCTCACCAGCTAATAGGCACGAGAGAAATCACTGGGCATGCTTATGTACCAATTCTGTCTCTGCATACTTTTGACATCAGATAATGTGATACACAGCAGCTTTAACTGAAACAATTCAAACTTCTATAAGCCTATAGTGCACAGCATTATTCATACAAGGAATTCATGGTCACCCTGACACTGTATAGGATCTTTCTAAAATATAAATTGACCTTGATCCTGCCACCAGCCTGGTATAAATTTCGAGTAACTCCAGTGGAATCAATGTATTGATTGGTTGATTGATACAACATAGAAACTGAGTGAAATTTAACTTATAAATGAGTTATAAAAAGTTGTGAAGAAGCTGCTGCATGCCATTATGCAACATTTTTTTGTATGAACAGAAATGGGGCACAGGCCYGAAAACTAAAATCACTTTAGTGGGTTAGAAGATAAATGCTCTGCATCTGTTTCTTGTAACATTCAAGTCATGGCTTCGTACCCTGGGTTATGACATAAAACTAGAATAATTGCATGTAATTAATTCAATAATCTAAATAATCAAATATTATAGTMAAATGAAAGATATACATAAATATATTTTATACATAGAAATACAAAACTTTATGTCTGTTCTCTGAAGTAAAAGCAAGACATTTKCAATTACCGAAATGCGATTCAAGTCTGGAATTCTCGTCGATGCAAAACTGCAAAACTGGCCCGTGGCCACGAGAGGGCAGACAGAACATTCCTTGTAAAGCTTGATTTTGGAGAGAATCGTGTTTTCCATTATAMAACCTGGGATGTTAATTAGCACGAGAAACTCCTGGATGAGCCAGAAACATAGAAACTATGCCGTTMGTTTTACAAAATCTATCTCATAAAATTTCAACCTTAACGAGTCTGGTCGTCTCAACTTTCTGTCTTTTAATAACAATTCCTAGAACAAATATTTTATTTTTTTTTTTAATTACAATGACATTTGACTTAAAGCCTGAAAGGAGAATTTGTTGTAATGTGTGTTAAGCTGTCTATCAATGGTTGCTAATTTTTGCCTTTTAACACCAGCTTAAAGATAAGAATATGTATAATTTCTCACTTCAATTAACAACTTCCTTTGGTTCTTTTTGGATGCAAATACATCTATAGCCCTCACAATATTGTGGCTATGAAAATCAGTGAGAAGTTCAGGGAATTACATCTCCGTCTTCTTCACTAAAATGATCACATGCCTCTATTTTTTCTGCCAAAATTGGGGGGAGGGAGAACTGGATTAATTACTTCTCTCCCTATTTATATGAGTTGGCCTCACCTTTCCTTGACCCATCACTTTGTAGGCAACATAGCTTCATTCACTTAGAAACGATACTTCCATTTTTTGTTTCTGCTGGCTCTATCCCATTGCACCATCTGAGGCACACTGAGTGTCAGCATGGAGRGGGTACTGGTTTAATAACTGCCTCAGCAAGTCATCTCTTCTGCATTACTCAATAGCAAGGTTATAAAACCTGATATTCTGTATGTGCCACAGCTAAACACAAATTAGTATTTTATCTTACCTGTCAGAGTTCATCAAGTGATTTTTAGTCCCTGSGAGCAGAACTCCTTGAGTTCAACAAAGGTAAATGGAAAGTCTTGCATGTAGGGAGGAACAGCCCCATGCTGCCAGGARGACCAGCACATGCTGCAGCTGACCAGCCGGAAAGCAGCTTTGCAGGAAGGGCTGGGGGTGCTGGTGGACACCAACCTGGACAGGAGCCRACAACCTGCCTTTACTAGAAGGAAGGCAAACTATATCTGGGACTGCATGAGGAGGAATGGCTGGCAGGTTGAGGGAAGAGATTCTTCCCYTCTRTTCAGCAYGGGTGGGAGCWCATCTGGAGTACGGTGTCCAGTTCRGGACTCCCCARAACAAAGGAGAYGGAACTAYTGGAGAAAGTCCAGTGAAAGGTCACCAAGCTCATGAAGGGTCTAGAACATTTCTTACATGATGAAAGGCTGAGAGAGCAAAGACTGTGCAGCCTGGAGAAGAAGAGGCTAAGGGAGAGTCTCATGAATTTGTAMAAATMCCTGAAGGGAGYTTGCAAAGAGGATGGAGCCARGCTCTTTCTGTTTGTGCTCAGTGAGAGGACCAGAGGCGATGGGCACCAACTGAAACACTGGATAGTCCATCTGAACAYAAGGAAGCCCTTCAGACTGTGAGGGTGACTGAGCGATGACAAGGTGGTCCAGAGAGGCTGTGAAGTCTCCCTCCTTGGAAACATAGCCCAAGGCAGCGTGCTTTAGGTGGCTTAGCCTGAGCAAGGGTTGGACCAGGTGACCATCAGAAGTCCCCTCCYACCTCAAAAATCCTGTGATTTTATGATACCCATCTTTCCCTGACACCATTGTTCCATCAGCGCAGAACATCCAATGCAGCCTGGTAAAGGAGCTATACAGAGATGTAGCAAGGACCTTCATCCTCTAACAAGATTTTTTCCAAAGAAACTCAATAATGTGGAGATACAGGTGGCAACAAAACACAAATTAGGTACTGATAGATTTACATGTGGGGTTGACCTCTTTTGTGTGAAGATTTCATGTAGAAGTGATGTCCTAAGCTTTTTCTTCAGTCAGCACACCCTCTATAATAACAGCTGAGGTAGATCATTCCCATGATATCCTAAAACCACAACTCTAATTCTKCCATAGTATATTTTTGGAAGGAAATAACAGAAATTTTTCAACAGTTGAGTAATTAATGAAATGAAGGAAAATATTCTGCTGAGCCTTTTCAAACATTCAGCTCTAGACTAAGATGAAGCATGAAAAGAAACACTGAAATAATTTTTTTTCAGAATCTATTAAACTTGTGAACTCTGGAAATCACCAATGAAGCTAGATCACTTGCAAATGGCACAAACATTAARGTTTAGTTCACTTTAATGTGGTGGCCAAGCCATCCAGGTTAAAAACAAATCAGTGGTTCAAAACCATAATAAACCAATTACTGGCTTGACTGGTTATTAATAACATGATAGTGCACTTAATAGGTATTCAGAAAAGCTATTTATGTATTATAACCAGCCAAAAAACATGCTCTCAGCTTTTCTCACACTGCTTTTCCAAGAAAAGTAGGACCTCCTGCTAGTTTGCTCTCACTGGTGAAAAAAACAACAGAACCAACTCTCTTTTCAAATGCATCCATTTATTTTTATGCCAATTCAACTCAAACAAAAACCACATTGAGAAAAGAAAAGGYCAGCAGAAGGAAGCAAAACAGATCAAAATCTATCACCATGTCTGTCAAATATAGGAAGGCAAAAACATCCAGCAAGCCAACTAACCAGAATCCAAACTCCACCAGTGGCAGCCAGCTCCAACTGTTTTAAAGGATGGTGTGAATATCCCACATAAGACCTTAGCAAAGAATACTGGTATATCCAAGAATGGGAATAAAAATTGACCCTTCACAGAGGTCCTGCTGCTGTGCTGCCTGACTCACTTGAAATCCACTGGGCTCAGCCAATTTGTCTGAGAAGAATTGAACCAACATGCACATGACTTCACTCAATTCTTCCCAATCACATATTCTGTAACAAATCGTCTCTGTTTGTGGCTGTATTTATCACTTTRTTCAGGAGTGTAAAACTGTTCACGACCTATGTGTGTCTTGGATCCCAGGTGWGTTTTWACATCCTCACCCATCATTCAACAGTTGACCCGTCCTTCASCTGCTGACATCACCAGCTGCCTCATCCTATGTATCACTCCAGAAAAACCCCAACACCCTCTTGTTCTGATGTCAAATACTACCAGAGCACGGACCAAAGCATAGTCACAGTGCAATGCACTGAATGAGAGTGAGAAGGTAGGCTTAGTTCAGAGTTCAGCCCTATACAGCTTCCTATTAATGCTTTTCTTCCAAAAAGTCAGACAATAAAGAGGGGGAAGAGAGRGGCTGATTTCCAAATATTGCCTCCTGTGTTGGGGATAATATTTCTTTAGGGTTCTGTGAGCACAATAGTTGAAAAGTTGTTACATTTARAATTWAATTTTTACTTAKGTATAATTTCTCAAAATAAYCATGTATCTTTTTCCTATTCCTTCMKACCTTCTCCCACTGGAAGCTCYTCCTCAGCAAAGCCTCCMAGTGAGATAATTCATTCTCTTARCCATGGATTTCTGAAAGTTCTGGGGCTGAAAAGTGTATGATCATGGCTCCTGCTTTGGAGAGGTATGATCCTGGAAACTACTGATTTCTTTTGTGGGTGATTTGCCCTGGACTTTTGACTGTTCACTGAGCTAAAATCCTCTTGGCTTCTTCTGCCAAAGAATTGGGCCAGTTTGTCAGAGAACAGAATTGGGCAGACAGTGTGGGSCCCTCTGCATGCATTGGACATTGTCCAGAGAGCACTGTTCATAGGGATATCGACCCTTGGGCTGGGCCCTGCTGCTAAAGGGAGGTGTCAATGGCTACGAGCTTGAAGTCCCTGAGCCAGCCACCTGGAAGTGCCATGCAATGAAATATTTTTCTGGATTTGAAGGCAAGTTTTAGGATTTGAATGGTGGTTTTGGACTAGTGCAGCTGAAGGTACATGGAATATATATTTTCATAATTCTTTTGATGAGGGTGTGTGGATTACTGGGAATGAGTGGTCCTTTTGTTGGTATGCTGCAGATGGGTTTAAGYCTGTATGTACTTTGTGGATTTGAAGATGAGAGCAGTCAGATCAYGATCTGKTGCTGTGGATGGYGGTTGAAATGCTAGGAGACTGATGRAGTAAAATTGATGGCACAGATCCCTGCCTCAGTGGGCTGCTCTCATGGAGCTGCAAAGAGAAGCCATGAAATGTGGTACCTTCTTATATGTGCAACAGGCAGGGGCAAAAATATCTACTAGTCACAGGCTCCATCTGCAATTCTGGCAGCCAGAAATCGTTTCTGAGAAAGGCTAATAAAGCTCAATAGAGAGAAAATTCCACTGGGATCTGAACAGTGGGGACTCAGAACTGCATTGCATTATAGAGCCACAGCAGTACTGCTGGAAGGAAAGTCTGATTTTTGTTTCTTGCCCATTTGCAGATTATGGATCAACAATTCAGAATATTTTTCTCATTGCAAGCCAGTTGCACTTGAATCTGAGTCATCARTGTAAGATTCCTACAGTGTTCCTGTAGATACCATAGCAGACCACCCAGTACTCTATAAACTGCCAGCATGATAGGATGAGCTTAGGTTTTTTCACTTGAATATGCTACATCAGCCTCTTTTCTGCAAAAACATATGGCCCAAACTCCCAAACATCTTGGAAGAATAACATGTTTCAAATATTTTCAAATTAGTTGCCTATTTTAATAAGGCAAATCAAAATCTTTTGCATTTCACTGACATATGCCAGAGAAGAGGGCTTGATCAAAATAGCTTTTGTCAAAGCTTTGCCAAAGTCAGGATAGCAAGCATGTACCAGTCAGATGAGTATATATTGCTCCTTTCTCCTTGAGACTCACCTCAGACTCCTCTTCCCATTGTAAGATCCATATTTAAAAAGCTAGCAAATCATTCAGTGCAGAGCAACACAGGAGTCTAAAAGGTAAAACTCAAAATGTAAGGAGGTAAAGCAGAGGTCTCTCATCCTTCTCCACAAGAGGAGCTCTGTCACTGTGAAYAAAAGCTTCATTTCACTGTAAAAATCCTGTAGAAAGTAGAAGTCCTGGTGCTTTTCTCTTGCACAACAGAGCAGCTCAAAGCAGAGGCAACTTGTTTAGACATAAATGCCTGCATGAAGTTCTGGAGAGCTCAGGGGTTTATACTGACCTAATACAGCTCCTCTCCTCACAAAGAGCTAATCAACCAGTGTTGAAACACACCTTCATTCTAGTGAAAGGAGGAGTAAAGCATTTCCTCTAAGCACAAAAATAGAGACAAAAAACCATGGCAATTAAGGAAAAAAGYATTTTCTATTGAAAGTCCCATCTTTTCCAGAGTGGAACTAGAACTTTATAGTGAATCTGAATTCACCAGGTGAGTCTCTATGTACATAAATCCTTTTCTATACAAGTGCAAATCCAAACTTATTACTTGAAAGTAACAAGTTTATTACTTGAAAGCTTATTTCCAGCTTCTGTTCATCAGTAACACAAAGCAACAGTATCACATCTCTTTAAGCTGATTCTCTCCTTTTTGTTTGTATGTTTGTTTCATTTTGTAACCTGCTACAAATAATCAGTAGAAGTAATAAAAGCAACCATTGTTTCTTGTCGACATTTGCCAGAGCTAGGCAGAACTCACYCRTTGYATCCTTAGAATCCAGATGCAGTCAMAAATTCTTTGATATTTGGTATTTCATCCCRCTTTTTCCCCTAAAAGTTCAAATATGAAACATGATGCTACTGCCTAAGCTGTCCCAATACTAGTGAAGAAATGAGGGGCTTGAAGTCCTAACAAGAACCTTCAAYTTGAACGTGGTACTAACTCCATTTCAAATTCCTGCTTGCCCAACTGTCTCAAAAGACAGGTAAGAACAGAACTTGTAAAGGTCAACTACTGTATTAGAAGTATTTGATATCAATTTACTGAAAGCATTTTCTCAYGGTTATGTTTTTCTGGCAAGACACATTTATTTTTCTCTTTGCTTTAACGAAACAGAATATCTTTTACTTTGTGCAATAGTCTGCCAGTTCCCCAAGAAATATGTTCATTACAGCTGAAAAGAGGACTGCTAACATAAATTATACTGTGGCTTTAGCGCTCAAAATCTCCTGAAATAATTTTCATAAAGAATAAAATGAACATGTATACTGCATTTCTAATGTAGAAAAAATGTGCATATTTCACGAATCAATCACAGGTGTTTATCATGATATCTACTCCTGTTTTAAACTTTTTTTT